GTGTGTCAAGGTTCCTGACTACAAAAGACTTTTCAAGATCCCAGCTCTGGACATAATTATTGAATTATTCATCCTAAGCTGTAATGACATTCAGTTCCTCTTTTGGACATAAATAACAGCAAACTTATGTGAAAATCTCCCTTCAATCATACAACTTCTGAGAAAGTACCTAATAACATTTGGTTGATCCTTTCATTCAAAAAATTCTCCCTGGAGCTCAGAAGCATGGTGGGCTGTTCATAAGATGCTCAGTCCTTCAGTGGTGGCCACAACATTAATTATTTCAATATGAAAAACCCAAAGAAGTGGAAATAGTAGAGCAAAGCAAACAAAACTGCTCACTGACTTGGTGATACTGAATAAAGCCATCCATGTGAGGAAAATTTCCCACCTCGCTGGTAGCTGATTCCAGGAAATAAACTCCACAGATTCATTTATATCTGTGTGGCTAAGACAACAGTCACCAGGGAGGAATCACTCACAGAGCCCGTGCATTTTTTCCGTTCAAATGAACTTGTTCAGTACTATCCTCATCCTTTAAAGTTTACATTGGCGTAATTGTTATCTGCATATCCATCTGATTCCTGTACATTTAGCAAAACAATCTGGGGAGATGCTGAAAGAGTGAAAGAGTGTAAGAGTGAAATATATAACAAAAATATTTTGATCAAACTTTTTCTGCTTTTTTTCCATCCTTTTAATGGTAAGAATCTATGCTTTAGGGAAAAAAAAAAAAAAAAAAAAAAAAAAAAAAAAAAAAAAAAGCCTTAACAAAAGGCAGGAAGTGGGAACAGAAACCCAAAGCAAAAAGCCCAGGGGGAAAAAAAAAAAGAAAAGGAAAATGGAAGGAGAACTTTAGAGAACACTGAAAACATATTTTATCACAAGAGGGCAGTGCATATTAACAAGTCAAGCAATAACCACGGGGAAACTAATAATTTCACAGGGAGAATAATCCCTTTCTTTACAAAAAATTTGAGAGCTTTCCTAACAGTGCTAAAGAAAGAAAAAAAAAAAGATGGGGGAGCAGGTCGTTGGAACACAATAGCAAACAGTGCCTTGTGAAGCTTGTACTTCACAGGAATTGCTTGTGAAGTGAAGCTTGTACCAGCTGTTGTGATTGTGTAAGAGAAGTGAGAAAGCTCTCAGTAGCACAGGAGCCTCTGGTTATCCCCGTTTTGTTGGCAGACAGCGATGCCACCTGGTGAACAGTCATCCTGCTTCTTCTGCCTAGTATAGCTGATCGTGCTGTATCATGATACAGGCAGAATAACCAGGCTCACATCTGACGTATTTATCCTGGCAGCAGAGACCGAAACATAACTCCCCTCTCAGAAAGAAGGATTTCAAGCACAGGCATACCGCAGCGAGGTGTCTCCTTCTCAAGTGGCCAAGACTGTGCTTAAATTCCACATGGCTGTTTTCTGTAAGGAAAAAAGAAGTTGATTTTACTGCTGAAAAAAATGACAAAACACTAGCCATGGAGGGTTATGAAGTCAAGAGGCTGAGACTTCCACTACCTGCAGGGATTTTTCAAGACTTTCCAGCCACATGGCCTCTGTTTTTAGAGGATGTGTTAAGCAAGCCAGCTGGTCCCTGCTCATAACTCCTATTATGAAGTGTGAAGGAACTCATACACCACATTAGGGGACAGAAGGATGGATTTCAAGGAAATACAGAGAAGCACACAACTACTTTGCTAGCATCTCTGATGCTCTACAGATAGTTCCTCTTATTTGCCCAGGAATAGCAAAATTTTATAGTGACAAACAGTGCATGGGAATGGACTTGCTGTGAAAAGTTGGCATTCTTTCTCATGCCTGTGCAGGAAGCATCTGTCACAAGGCATGAGCCCATTGCCACTGCCAGTCACAGCTGGGTCCTGAGGGCTTGTGGCTGTGGAGGACTTAATGAGATGTCTCAGTTAAGCCCTTCCAATCTTTTATTTTGGAGCGTTTCTCTATTTGATCATGAAACAGGCTGAGCATAATGTGAAGTGATATGCTTGGTCCAGCATAGAATATCCACAGACATTGATGTGCCTCAAGCACACTGTCTCCTAATCTGCTCATCAATGAGAAAACAGAAACAAATCTGAAAGCTGCTTTAAAGGCTTTCTTAAGACAAGTACAGTGTCTCCATTAAAGAAAGCCGTAAGTGAAATCTCAGAGGGAAAAGAATGTATACCCATCCATTTGGAAACTGTTCTCTTACTTAATCTAATGCAATGAATCACAGCATCAAGACTCAGAAGACTTCTCTGTGTGGCATGGGACCATGCAGTGCTGCCAGCTTCTGGCTGATGAGCAGCATTGTCCTCTTCTGGGGAGCGCACACCCTGCATCGGCTGCATGCTGCAGTGCTGCCAGATTAAATATCCCACGGTCTTCCACTGTGCTTAAAGAGTTTTTACAGGTCTCTGTTTTGAAAGTGTTTTGAAAATGATGCAGAAAAGAAAAATCTCAGTAAATACGTCTGTCAAATTTCAACAGGGAAGGGATGGTGCACTTGGCTACAAGAGGAGGTTGGATCATTTTCCAATTTATAAGTATCTAAGGAAGCAAAAAGCATTTGTCTGAATAAACTTTGGTACCACTGCTAATTTTTGAGAAATACATAATACTCAAGGGAATTACAATAGGACACCAGTGAAGTGTGTCCTATGATCATGTACTGAAAAAAGGCAAAGAAAGATGTATGAGGTAACCAGGGGCTAACCCTGTTCCTGACCAAAATAACTGTAAAGCTCATGAGGGAAGTCAATGAACGAAGAATTTAAAGACACGAATGCAAATAATTCCATTCAGATTGTGGAGAATGGAGAATAGATCGCATTAAGCAAACCTTAGTGTTTGACTTATTATCACTCGATATTTTATATTTTAAAAAATAGCTCTATAAAATGGTAGTAGATTGAATTGAATGGAAAGAGAACTTACTTAAAGCATGACTGTCCACAAGGAATTATCTTCCAATGAAGACCCTAAAGCAGTTCTATGCCCAGACTCCTACTCAGACTAATTATCAAGGCTGCCACTTGTACAGATGGCTTTAATAATGAAGGCCTATTTAAGCCAAATGCATTTTAATGCAGACAATGTAAAGCTCAACATCTAAACTAAGGAATCCAGACTGAAAGAAAATAACTGCATCTTGGAAAGTGATAACTAAAAACAGCTAAATTTTCAGTGACAGTACAAGTTTCCAGTGTGCTAATATGACAGTCCTCAGATTTTCTAAATAAAAAAATAACATGAAAAGAAAGGGAAGTGGTTTAATTTCCAGATGAAATGTCAATAAGAATTAAAAAGGTGCCCACAGTTTTACAGGATATTAACAAACTGAAAATCACTGTGACATATTCAATGTAGAAAATTCTTTGAGTGAGAGAATCTTAGTACAAAATCTGCTTAGATTATCAAAATGAAACTGAGAAGTGACTCTATGAAGATAAGTAAGAAACTTATCAGGAGAAAAAAAGGGGTAATTAAGATCTTTCTCACATAGAAGAATGTCAAGATAGCCTGTCCAGTGGCTCATTTTGCTCTACAGCCTTTGAACATACGATTTTCCAGCTTTGGTGGCAAACTCTTCATCTTTTTCAACTACTGTTTCTTGTTTAAGAGTTATGTATCTATGTATCTAAATTCTTTAGATTACTGTACAATTAGTGGAAAGAGATAAATATTCCTTAAATAATACTCGGTTCTCCTCTTAGACGTGCTGTAGAACAGGATGTATCACCATGGTAGATTCCTCTACAGTTGTAGAGGAATTCCTTGTAGACTCATGGTAGACTCATTGCAGACACACTGTAGTTTTGATGCAGATTTATCTACTCTGTGGAAGGCCAAGACCACATGTACTGCGAATCATAGCTTCATGCACCATTATTGCGCTGAACAGAGCCGGACTGTTTCTGAAGAAAGCCACAGGATTTGAAATATTCCTTGAAGGAGTCATAACCTAAGAAAACAACCCGTGCTCAAGGGCAGAGCATACAGATAATATCTGTAAACCACAGACGCATTTAGGCCTCACTGCCTGAGAATATCTGAGAGTAAAGCAGGAATGGCATGATGAAAAATATGAAGAAAAAAAAATGTGGTGGGAACAAATTATTTAGAAGTTACAGGCAGCGTCTCTGAAAGTGACTAGTGATTCCAGATGTCTCAGCTTCAGGGTGGCCAACTTAGCATGCATTCTAGGAAACCTTTCCATGGAAGTCATACCTTTGGGCATTAAAAAACAGCACTACAGAGTTAAGTGCCTGTATACTTTGGGAACCAAAAAGTATCTACTATTATTTGTTTCTGGTCCTTTTTCAACATTAATGTGAGTAAAGGAAGGAATATTTTACTGATGATTTCTTTGGTGAATAAATTATACCATTATGCTATCTGAGTTTGATAGATTGCTTATGCTCTGGATGTCAATAATCCTAATCTTGGCACTGGTCAATGTCTTCAGACCACACACTGTTCAATGCTGTATTTTCATATAAAAGAAGTGTTTGTTTTAGAAAACCCCACACTTCCTATGTGTGCATGTTCGGTATTCCCTCTAGCAATCTGTTCGTAGGCAGAAATTTCTTTTTATAGACTTTGTAATATTGGTCGTAGACTTTTCAGTTCCTAATTACTACATAGGTTCTTTCCAGGAGAAGGGAGGAAAAAGACACAGGCTTTCCACAGCTCTACTCAAAATTAAAGGTTGCTGCATTTATAATATTGACTTTACTTAGTTCTCTCTTCTCCTCAAAGATGTCAAAGGAATTACCGATACTTGTTAGATCACTTTACCCTGTGGAGAGGAACTATGCTTAGTTTTTTGAAAAAGATAAGAGGTATTTAACATTTACGCAAGATCTAACATGAAAATATTGGAAGAAATTTGAATAATATTAATGAATTTCAAAACACAACTGTTCAAATCACTGATTCTTATCTCCTAGGTAATCAACATAAATATATATTTATCTACTTTTATTTTATTTCTAGGGACATACTGCAAATCCAAAAGCATTGCTCCTAGGTTCCCAAGGAAATATCTCAAATTGTATTATTAAGCATTCAGTAAAAGGGTAAGTTGTTCTTTTGAATTTTGTCTTTTGAATTTTCTAATAATCATCAAGGTGAGCACTTGCATTTTGTGCTTGCATAGTCCCTAGTTTCTACAAGTACTCTTGCAAGTGGGGTTGCCATACTGTCCACAGAAAATTCAGCCATCGTATGAAAAGCTTGAGCTTAATTTGGGCATGATCCAGGTGTTATTAGTTATAAAGTAGAAACCATTTGAAGACTCCCCAGTAATGTTTCAGCTTTCCATCACTGGTTTTCTGTTTTTAATAAAATACTGTGAAGAATAGGACCTTGTTTGAATCCTGCCTCAAATGACCAGATCACATCTGTAGCTAAAATTTTATCTCTATTCCAGTAAAAAACTTTGTTTTTCTTCCTTCATGAGAACCAGGCGATTACCACCTCTACTGTTAGATTCATGTGACTTATTCTAGCTACAACTGTGACAATCCTGAAGCACAAAGTGTGGTTGTCTGTGTCATCCCTGATGTAGGTCTAGGGATGAGGCTCTGCACTGATTCCCAGTCATTACTGTTGGCTAGCTGAATGATACAACCATAATTTCCAAGTGATAATCAAATCAAGTCCATCTTTCCCAAAGACTGAATTATAATGCAGGAGCCACCTTATAATGCAGCCAATAAGAGCTGCATTGCTCTGCTTCAGGACAGAACTCAAAAGCCCAGGGCAAATTGCCCAAAAGCTATGGAAGAAGCATTTCTGATCAAAACTTGAAGAGATAATTGAATGAAATCCACCTACACAACTTTGGAATAGGGGTTTTTGTATAGTTTTAAACTTTACATCCAGAAAACAGTTATTAAAAAAAATAAGTAATCAAACAAACAAAAACAACCACAACCAATCTTCCTAAACTGAGTTTTTCTGTGTAAGAAGCTGCAGAAGAACCAGGGAGGCCTCTTCATGCAGTGGGGGGTGTCCAAGAGTTTGCTGCTGCTGCTACCTATTTTTGCTCTGAGGGTATTCAGATACCACCATGATTGGTTTGACGGTAAAACCCTGAGACAGATGGAAGAGATACTGTGTTTACATATGACATGGTTTGCTGAAGTGAAGTGTGGTTACTTGCCACTCCATTTATAGTCTAAAAAAAAAAATTATACTTGACCCAGTTTAATTAACTGTGGGTTGCGGTTCAACATTTGAAAATTGGTTACTAAGAAATTATAGTGCTTTAAAAAACCACTATAAAACAATCCTTTTTGTGGTCTGTTCTTAAAGTAGCAGCATAGATTAAGCCACTCAAACATGTGTACTGTATTTCCTTAAATGTCGCAGTGCTGAATATGCAGGCAGCTTGATACTACAGCTTTGACCAGAAGGTATTATATATGTCTCTTAGATCAATAAAATGAATGTCTCTCTAAAGCAAGCAGCATTTGAGAAGAGTTTATTCATTCTTCATAGGTAGACTCTCCTTTTGTCCCTACATGAGTACCTGATATAGCTGGTAAAAGAAAGTGGTTACCCAGATCTGTATATAATGCAGCTCAGCTTTAAAGCTATGCTTAAATACAGCATTAGCTGACAGCTTTAGTTAACAAAGTGCTGTAGGAATACACCCTTATAAACACAAGTGACTTCCACCATGACATCTATGCATAATTGGTCACAGGACACAACCCTATAAAGAAAAAGCAGCAACTTCTGATCATTACCAGTGTGGGTCAGATGTTGGCTAAGGACAACTCTATGTCTGAGCCATGCTGGTAACGATCAGAAGCTTTAACCAGCAACAGGTTGGTTCAATGACTTTGTCAAGGACAGTAGATGAGGAGTCACTTCATGAGCTGCTTCCAGGTAATTGGTCACATTAGGTGCCAGTCTTGCCCATGAGGACTGGCTAGGTATGGAAGGGGCCTTGGGACTAGTTTTTCTCTTTATGAAATTTTTACAGCCATACTGGTCGACTTTAAGTGATGATCAGTTGGTTTTGTCTGTGCACCGATTAACAAATGAAAGCCTTATTTAATAGCATCAGGTTCATTTCTTTTTCAAAGTCACAGAATCCTTATTCCAAACACTGTTCATGCGTACTTTTTGGAGAGGCTAAGTGGGTAAGCCAGAGAAGAACAACTGTGTCAGCAGCCTGACAGGAATATTAGTAGTAGTAGTAGTAGTAGTAGTATTATGCTATGTTTTCCCTGCAGGGCTTTCCATTCCTGAGTAACAGAAAGGTTGCAATGCATATATGTTCATACAGCTAAGGCAGGCACCAGCAACTTCTGTGAATATTATGTCCGTGCATTTTTTAAAATATCACTGTTCCATGAGTCCATTTACCTGTGGACTCTGACTCAAGAATCCACTGTTCATGGAAAGGCAGAAAGTTCTGTCCACTTTTAAGGACTTCAGAGTTTTGATTTCTTTTTGGAGTAATATTGTATTAACAATGCTCCCCAAACAGACCTTATTCTTGTACCTGAATGGATTGGCTAGATGCTAGATGAAGTATTCTCTATACAGCACTTTCTAACATGACTTGGCATGGAGTTTCAAAATCAGAGTTGACAAATGGGTGTATTTTTTCCAAAAGTTTAGAAATCAGTAAGTGGCAAATGCATATACAGAACCTTTTGTTAATGCTAAACACTTACATAAGGAAAAGCATCTGAATGAGACTTGAGAAAAAGAGGTATAAATGAGGCACACTGCTACACAACAAGAAGGAAAACTGCTTAGTTGGCAGACATTTTAAAATCACTGAAATAATTTGGAAGTACATGATGGTAAACTTCAACACTCTTAAGAACTTAAATACGGTGTTTAGGAACTACTAAACATATTTTATCAAAAAATAATTGAGTCCTAAAAGTATATAATATTTGCTGTTATGTTGCCATTGCCAAAACATTCAAGCCTAGCTCATCATTCTCACATTGCTCTGATGTAACTTACGAACTAGATTTGCCGTGAGACTAGCTCCATCATCACGGAGTTCTGGTGCAGTGCTACCCAACTTTGAGTAAAAGCTCATTGAAGAACATCCATTGAGATGAGGAATCTCAGGGGATTTACTTTGTGAAGATGCAATTTACTTTCTGAGGGTGTGATTTATTCTCCCAGACAATAAAATCCTGGTCAGAACATGTCTCCTTCAGACCTCCTCATGAAATCTTTTAGGGGTCAAGAAGAGTTTCTGATAGAAACAGGGTCTACTTGTTGTTGATCATGGCCATACCCATACATGAAAATGGTAGAAAGACCCGTTTGAACACATCAAACTCCTCTGAAAATTTAAGATGATCAGTTACTACCAGACAGTCATCAATTTCTCTACATGTCATCATGTGTCACTCAACTCTGAACCCTTAAATTTAAAAGATTCAGGCAGTTGTTTCCATGGGGTCATCATTTTGTAGCCATAGATTAAGTCTGTACTATCCATTAATCCTGTAAGTCTTCTTAGCCCTAGCCGTATTTTCTCTTTCCACAGCTACTAAAGATACAACATATCACTATGAGCAAGAATGTCTTATCTTTTATCTACCATTGCAAATGCAATTTGGAAACCCACTTTAAATGTGGGTGGAATGATTTTTTTTTGCAAGTCTGTAGTAGACCAATAAAGCTTAGGGAAAAACTCTTTTAAGATAAGGTCCAAATGAGTTTCAAGATATGAATCTCCTAAGTGAGATAAGACTGCAACCATATACATACTGGTGTTAGATCAAAAGTAGTTGCTCACTCATTTCTAAAAGCTTGATTCTAATCATAGATGCATAAGACACTTTCCTATGTCTCTCTCTACTGAAACAACAGAGGGTGAGGTGTGTTTGTAATCAGCAGGTTTTGGAAGGTGTAAGATGGTATACACTGCCAGATCATCTGATATGAATAGTTGTCTTTGGCCATGTTAAATACACTCAACTTCATAATAACTTTACCTCACAGCAACATTCAACTACCACTTTGTTTTCACCTTCTCTCCATTTTTATGGTATGTTAGCAAAACTATGTTAGCATGAGGCCATCTGCACTTGTATTTGTTTCTATTTCTATGCATGTTCTGTTTTTTCAATTTTTAGTCTCGACTAGATGCATTTAACTATGATGCAATTTCAAAACTTTCATATGGTTTAGGAGCCCAAAATAGAAATGTTCTTCCTTAACGCCTGAGAGCAATGCTTTGCAAAGGTGCAAAGATGGTAACTCTGCAGTTGTGGCTTTGTTGTACAGAGCTCCTAGATATGTAATTCACCCTCAAATCGGGACTAGCCTTAAGATAATGGGTTGAGTTCCCGTTAGAGCTCTTGGTGTTCTTCCAGAAAATGCAACACCTCGAGCTTCTTCTGTGATAAGGGTACAGAGGGGGCATTCATTGACTCCTCACTGTGAGACCCCAATCTGAATTGCTGCATGGGTTCATTTCCCCTCCATGACCTCACCACCACTTCTTTCTCCTCCACATAGCTGAGTGATGCCATTCACCAGGCTCACTTCGCACCAGGTTATCTGAGCTACTCGCAGGAACAGAGAGGGCTATCTCCAACCTTCAGCTGCCCTGAGTTCATCGCACACACTACAGCCCAGCCACACAGTAGACATCAGCTGAGTGTTTATAGTGCCACCATGAACACCAGCTATCAAGTCAACATCAAGCCCCAAGGACCGAAGTGGTAGACGATGAGGATATGGTAGAAGCAACCTGGCCTTGCTAAGAAGCAAAGAAATATATGGACTAGAGGTTTACTTTTTTTGTCATTTTTTTTTTAAATATGCTTAGTATGCTTTGCAGTTCTCACTGAAGGTGTGTGCCTATGTATATGTACATATATGTGTACATATATGTATATGCATGTATATATACACACACATGTCTGAGACAAAAGTGCTTTACTGCCAACTTTTAAAATCTGATTTTTTTGGCAAAGACAAGGTTTACCTTTTTATAAGGACTTCATTTTCCGGCAGCTGCTAGCAGACAAGATGGAAACTGAGCAGAGTGTATGGACAGAGTCCTTTCCAGCTTGTTGTAAGA